TTGCAAAATATTTTCTCAACACTTAAGACTAATTAAAATATTTTCAGGATATTTTGTAACTTCTAATGGGAACAGTTGATTTTAAAACAAATAAATACTCCCCTTCAGTACTCCGTTTACACGGCTGCACTGAGAACCTGAAAGTGAAATTACTTATTAAAAAAGGATATCTAATTTCACTAATATTATTTCCTAATTGAGAGAAATGCAGAAAGTAAACAGAGTAGTACAGATAGCAAAATGCAAACTGGATTTTAAACTATTTTGGTTTTAATAATCTAAGTTGCTATCAGTAATATTGTTAAGGAATCTTAAAATATGGGTTTTCAGTTGACAGTGTCCCTTTTAAAATCATAATTAGTGAATTTATAGAAAAAGAGCAAAGAGCGCTTCCTAAATTTCACAGCTTTTTCCTTGTCTGTCATAATCAGTTTGATGTGCAATTATCTAATCTTCCTGGTGCTCTGATTTTATATATTTCTACTTTCATTCTATATTTCAATTTGCCTTCTAATTTTTAAGAAGAAAGCCTTGTCATCTAATGTCATAATGCATTATATGTAAACCACCCATGGCTTAAAAAGAAAAAATCATCATAACTGATGGGTTTAATGTCATGACTTATCTTGATGTATGAGGCAGATGAGTGCTGCTGGAGAATCATTCCAGCAGCAATGGATGTAGAGGAGGGAGGCAGCAGGAGAGCCAGGCAGATGAGGAAATGCCGGTGTAGATCCATTCTATGGGGCAGGAGCAGCGAGTCTTGTGAAGTGGCAGGAGGAAGACAACAGCAGTGAGAAAAGGGAATCTGTGCAGACGTTTATTCAAGACTTCAAGTTTATTCAAGTATTCCTATACTGTCATAAATGCAAACTCCTGTATTAGTACAACAAACTGATAGAATTTGAAAGGGCACAAAAGGCAGGGAATTCAGAGTTACGCTTACCAAGTTAGCCTTAATGGGCTTTTGTTTAACTTGGTCATTTAGGCCTTCGTTCAGGAAGGTACTTAAGAATGTGCCTAACTTTAAGCATGTGAGTAATCACAGGAAGTCAAAAGGAACCAGGTAAGGAATTAAGACCTTACCCAACTTTAAACTTTTAAAATGTGTTTTTTCTATATATATCACATTTTTCTTGGCTGCATTGTTCGTCTGCTTAGTGGGGTTGTGTTTTTTTCCTAGTTTTTAAAAAAGTAATATTTGGCTAAAATATTTTAGTTGGATAAATTTACGTGACTTCTTGCTAAGCTCATATGACCCAGTTGCTACAGTCTGAAGCACTGACTATAGGATCTTTCCATTTAATAGTTTATTAGGCATATCCCTTTAGTCAGGTTGTTTTTATTATTTGGGCACAATCATAAAGTTAGCCACAGCATTTGCTGTCTCCTCTTCACATTCATGCTGAAAAGGAAAGATCAGCCCAGGACTCAATAAAGAATCATTTACTTAATCTAGGAGTTCTTGACATTTTTAACTATCTGAATCACATTCTTAATAGAGTATCTTGCGGACTCTTTCTTCCCACTTGTAGAGGTGTACGCTCCCCACCGCTCCCATTCGTCATTGCACAATATCTCTGTGGTCACAACTGCACTGTTTACAATGGAAAAGTAATATTAGGAAAATATTTTATGTTCTTTCAACTGTAATTCATTACAGCAACACTAGATAAAGAGAAGAACCAGCACCATTTGGCTACCAGAAGGTGGACATTGGACCACATTTTGGGGATCTCTCACTTTAACCGACCAGAATATTGTCTCTGTCCATGCATTTATTGAACAGTGTGAACACACTTTAAGCAAGGGGTCCATCGAGGGGAGAAATAGATTGTGTATTTTCTTCTAATGCAGATTTCTGTCTTGATCTCACCTCAGATAACTTCAGTCATAAGACTGGATAAGTAGTGGAATATGGACCAGCATGAGCTGTGTTATTGCTTAGACTGATTTTTGGCAAAAATTTTCAGTGACATAAAAAAAGTCATGAAAGACAAACAGGAAATTTATAAAACAGATTTTCAAGTGTTTTGTGGTTACAATAAAATATTTAGTGTTGTGCAATTGTTCAGCTAAATTGATGCTTGTTCCATGGTGTAGTAGAACTGAATGCTGAGTAAAAAAATATAGTGGAATGTTAATCTCTTTGTTATCAACAGAGGGAGCTCTGTACCTTTCACATTAGTCATGCATATGTCACATGTTTGTCACACATATCTTTAGTTATTAATTTACAATTCAAAATTTAGTGTAATTATACCTTTGCTTATATTAATGGTGCCGTTTACAGTATATCTTGATAGCCTTAATTTGATTCTGCAAACTAATGTATTTTCTGTTCATCAAGGCCCCATCTTACACTATGATGTTCAGCTTTATGTTACAATTATTCAGTAATTAGGGAGTGTTTGCTCCTATTTATACATTATATATTCTAATTTTATGGAACCCTGTTATAGGTTTATAAAAACACAAACAAAACTGTAGAATTTCTTGTTGGTATTCGTTGTTAGTTTGATAGTGATGTGTCATCAGAAATGGTGTATATCTTTGAGTATAAGTAGTTTAAAAATTAAACTGTTCAGCATCGGAAATGGTGTAGCACGTGAATGTGAGAATGATCAGAGCCATGTGAGAAAGACAACCAAGAACGTGGGGGCTGGGAGAGACTGGTGATAGAGACAGCGTGAGAAATAAAGAACAAGAGATAGATTAGGTGAGATTTTTTTTAACCTATACTAATGTTCTCACCAAATGTAAATCAAAGTGCACACAGAGGCAGCTTTCCAAGTGCAGCACAGCCTCTATTTTTGAGTTGCTGCTTTTCCCACCTCTGCCTTCCCAGCTGCACACACTCCACCCCTCTGTCCGAACTGTCCTACGAGGCTTCTAGAGTTCCTGACTTTCCCACTGCTGGCCTCCTGGGTGTTGACAACCTCTAGAATTAATTGCTTCTGCCAGACACAGCTGGTGGGTGGAGCTGTGAATTCTGATGCTGAGAGGAAATAGAAAATAGTGTGTTGCCCCACTAGGCTTTCCAAGTTATCTTCTGGTCTCATGGGAGAAGAGTTGAACTTTAAGGGAAGGCTTGATTATGGGGAGAAGTATCATGAGTCTACCGTGGACAGATTTTTGATTGGTCCAGAAGGCAAGGGCAAAGGATTGTGGTGTGTGAGTATAATATCATCATGCCAGGCCGTTCCTTATTAGATGTGGGATAAAAGAAAATAGACAAAAGTTAAGAATGAACCAGACTTCACTTGGCTTTTGCAAAGCAATGGCTAGGGGAGTGGGCAGACAGTTTTAAAGAGATGAACTATGTAGACATAGCATGCAATGTTTCATTCTCTTTTCTGTATCTTACTGGACAGCCACTAATCTGTTTACTTTCCCCTTTTGTCTGGCATATGCTTAAGGGAATTTGTATGGAAGGTCTGGCTTACTAAAGTCGAAAGCAACAAGGAGTCTGGTGGCACCTTAAAGACTAACAGATTTATTTGGGCATAAGCTTTCGTGAGTAAAAACCTCACTTCTTCGGATGCAACCAGACTCCTTGTTGTTTTTGTAGATACAGACTAACACGGCTACCCCCTGATACTTAAAGTCGAAAGGATGATCCAGTGGTTAGGGAACTAGCTTGGAACCTGGAAGACCTGTCCTCAATTCCTTGTTCTGCTGCAGACTTCCTGTGTTACTTTGGGCAAGTCACTTAGCCTCTCTGTATGTCAGCTCATTATCTGTAACATGGGGGTAATAGCACTGCCCTACCTCACAAGGGTATTGTGTGACTAAATAAGTTAAAGCTTGTGAGGCCCCCAGACACTATGTTTAATGGGGGCCACATAAATACGTAGGATTGATAAAGGCTAGGAGATACTGAGATTAGAATGGGGAGGCAGGTGTGGAAACCCCAGTTGTGACAGGAAAAGTGAATAGGTATCTAAAAAGAATCCCATCCAAGAGTAACATTTAAATGATTAATTCTCAGCAAGAATTTTATTTAAATAAAGTAATGTCACAGTAACGGGATTGTTTTTGCAATCGTGTGTATTATTATTAAACAGTGTATATTAGAATCCTTACCAAGGTTTAATTATTTAAGTGCTAAATGTACAGAATCAAGAAGAAAGGACTAGAGAAAGACCTGCCATGGGAACTTGCATTCTAAGACCTTAATTACAGATGCAGTTAAACAAGAAGGGAGTTTTCACAATATCTAAAATGATGGGCTGATGGATACCTATGCCTAGAAAGAAGGATTTAGGGCTGACTAAAAAGAAAAAGCACATTAAAGATTTCTCTTGCAGAAATTTAAAGTAAATTTTAGTGCTCCTGAAATGTGGCGGATTGACATAGTTGGAAACTGATACCTGTTATCCACATGACATGTACTAGTGGACAATGATAGCACAGTCATACAGTGTGCCCTTAGCCCATTGTGGATGGACCACCTCTGGGGCTTAAAGAGTTAAATCTCTGCCCTTTCATCCTTGAAATCTTTGCTGAGACTACCAGAAAGGGTGCTATGAAGGAGCGTATTACCTCTTTAAGGGATAGCCAGGGGCTCACAACCAAAACAAACTGGGAGTAATTAAAGAGGCTCCCTACTTTGCCCTGGGGCTGGTCTATTTAAACAGGAACAGAGAGCTAAGCAAGAGCAGAGCGCCTCCTGGATTACACCCAGGGTTTTTTGTCTGTAAGATCCTGGCTGTTCCTTAAAGAAGTAGTATACGTCTTTAGAAGTGCCTCTTCAGGTAGTGGCATTTCTGAAAAGAACACTTTTCCACAGGGGACTGGACTGCGGTCAACGAACAGCCATCAAAAACAAATGACCCTTGGTCACTAGAGGCCTGGGCTAGATTTTATCTGATGAGTGGAAGGCTCCATGTCCCATTATGGATCCCATGAGCCATCCAAACCTCCTGCTGTATTGTTTTAAATGGTATTGACTTGCCTCTTTCTAAAACCATTTCATTCCTTTTTACCCCTGTGCACAGTGAAACACAGTTCAGTTCCTCTAGTACTACCACTTCGGAGAGTCAAGAACCATCTTCAGGAGATCACGCTGCAAGTGCACTCCAGCAGCAGCTCTTACTGATGGTGGCACGAAGAACCCTTTCAGAAACACCACGGGTACGTTGTATTTCAGTTTCTAACATTTTAACAAATCATGTCTTGTAAACATGTTGTAGAACCGACCACCTGGTGTGAAGGCAACCATTTTAACCCTTTTGTATTTATATAGTATTGCTGTACTGGGAGGGCTTGTTTGGCTGCACATTGAGTAGTATATTACTAGACAAGTAGCCCCACTGGTTTAAAAATAATAAGGGACTACTCTGAGCAAAGGTGGCAGAGCTGAGTCCTTAAGGAGCATTTTTGAGCTTTTTTTTTTAATAACAGAGACAAGTTTTCCAAAGTGCCTTGTATTAGAGTATTTAGAGATTACTATGAGTCTAAGTCTGCTAAGCATTTGCGTTGGCACATGTTAGCTGTACAAAGAGACTGCCAACATGTAAATAGTCTCTTATCATAAAAATTGAAAACCAGAGGACACAGCTGTTAGGATTTTATACACATTGCCAAATTTTAATAGTTTGACACATCTACTTTGCAGAGTAGTGTGGGCACATAGGCCTAAAATATCAAGTCTGTCACCTCTTTTCTGAACTGGGAAGTAAAACTTTTAGGGCCTGATCCTGGGTCCTGGATATCATTTGTGGGATGCCAGAGCACCCTCCACTTGTAGGAGCTGGATTTGCTCATCACCTGTCAGAAGCAGGCCCTTAGTGCTCAGTTTGGTTTGTAATATGACAAGGACATAGTTTATTTTTATAGTTTGTGTGGGTTTGGGGTCTCTGACATTCTCCAAGCTGTCTTCCAGAATTTGGAGATACCCTCATCCCAAGCTTAACACCTTCACCCTACCCAAACATGGCCACTTCAAGTCTGATGTTAATAAACCTAAAACATCAGACAATTATTTATCTTGACTTAGATTTTTTAACAGGAACTAAAAGTTGACAGGAAAGTAGCTGTTGTAAGATGATTTAAAACTCGTTTTTTACCTATGTATGTTATAAATGCATATACAATGATAATTTAGATTTGTATAGAGATTTCCGTACAAGAATCTCAAAAGACTTTACAAATATTTATTAAGCCTGCAAACCACCTGCTAACTAGAGAATTATCATCACCCTTATCTTATCTGTAGGAAATCTGAGGTATTGAGAAGTGAATGTCTTGCCCAAGATCACACTGCAAGTTTGGGACTAGAATACATGTTTTTATGGCTTCGAATCTTGTGATTATAAGTGAAATCTTAACCCTATTGAAGTCATTAGGAGTTTTGTCATTGACTTGGATGGGTCTAAGTCCAAATGTCTTGGTCAAAGTATAGTCAAGGTCCAGACTCCAGAGAAAATAATAATAAAAAATAACGATGATGATGATAAAAAGATGTTGAGGTCCATTCAAAAGTGTCTGGCAGTCAGGATTTGGCCCACAGTCAACATAATGACTACCCCAGGCTGGAATTTCACTCAGAGCTTCAGACACCCATATAAATTAGCTGAGAGTTTGTCTATATGATAATTTAGTTCGTATCTAGTTGCGGTGTGAATCTACCTGCACTAGCCTGCAGCGCATTAACTCTATGTGTAGACCTTGTAGATGTGCACTAATAGTTCATGTCAAAGTGGGGTAAATCAAAGCACGCTAACAAACTGTCAGTGCATGTCAGCAGGGTCCACGTGGACAATTAGTGTGCGGCAGACTAATGCAGGGTAGAGTCACACCCCAGTTTGCTGTGAACTAAGTGTTCATGCAGACAAGCTCTAAGTAATTTAATTCATTTGGTGGATGGGTAAATGGAGGCACAAATAGATTTAGTGTGGCCTCATGCAAGTCACAGCCAGTCAGTGACAAAGCACTTACTACAACACAGAAATCCTGATCTAGGCCCAGGTCCTGCAAACCCTTGTGCACATGTTTAACTTCATGCATATGTATAATTCCAGTGAAGTCAATGGGACTGCTCATGTGCTTAAAGTTAAGCACATGCTGAAGTGTTTGGAAAATCAGGGCCATAGTGCCCTGTTTAGATTTTTAAACAATTCCTTTGCTAGCATTGTCATTTTTCTACTCTTTTTCAAGTCATAAAACTAAATTAGGAGAGTGGTAGTAATTAATTTAAGGTGAGTGTTATTAAAAATAAAAAGGAAAAAGAACAGGAACATTGATTATTGTAATAGTTCCTGTTGGAGCAGAGGTTGTAGAGTCAGGAGACCAAATATAGAAAACACTCCTAGATGGCAGATATTATCAACAAAAATTTTAAATGTTCATATTTAACTTTTGGCTTTTTAAAATCCTTCACAGTACATTAAGTAAAATGTCTAAATTGTAACTTAAATAATGTAAAAACTGTGTATTATTTGAATTCATATTTTGCTTAAAAATTACGGTGACAGAAGGAACACAATCTGTCTCAAATATATTTTATGTCACTTGGAATTATTGATCGCTAGGATTCTCAGTTAGAGGCAAGGATCTTTTCCCATCAGGTACGGTTGTGGCTTATGCTGTGGTTGGTTTGAAGTGTGGGAGAAGCCAGAAAACCATAGACAAGATAAACCACGGGGATTAAAGAAACAATTTGTTACTAAAACTTGTTAATGTATTGTTAATAGTATTTTGCATGATTGGCATAACTTCTGACCATCTATAAGAAACTAGATTAATATATTGTGTTCCTTATGGTTGAAATACAATGGAGAGTAAAAATTTTCACCAGTATTCATTTATAAAGAAATTGGAATGAAACATTGACATATAAATTCTACCTTTCAGAGCATGTACTTTAGTGGCAACAGTATGCCAAAATGAAACTGTGTGTGTGTGTGTTTTGTTTGTTTTAAAGCATCTGAGTCAGGACTTTGAGGACTCTTCATGCTCTTCAGCACAACGAAAATTTAACAGGCAGTTTTACAAATTTATTATATTTCCTGGCAAGTGGATTAAAGTCTGGTATGATCGACTTGCCTTGTTGGCATTACTGGATCGGTAAGCTTTCTTCATACTAAGTGGCATGAATTTCTCCTTACAGGTAAAAATGCAAACTATTAAAAAAGGAGTGAATGGTGGGACTCCTTTTAAATAAATACCTGTTTAGATTAAGTGTGGGAAAATGTTTCTGTGCTCCAAGCCTCAAACTTCAGAGTTTTTTGTGGCCCGTGACCCTTCTATATAAGAACTATCAGAGGGGTAGCTGTGTTAGTCTGTATCCACAAAATCAACGAGGAGCCCGAAGAATTCCTCCGCATCTGAAGAAGTGGGTTTTTTACCCATGAAAGCTTATGCCCAAATAAATCTGTTAGTCTTTAAGGTGCCATCGGACTCCCCCTTCTATATGAGAAGAGACCTTGATTTATGTGAGGGTCCAATTTGTGTAATAGTCCCCAATTTGATTCTGGACTCTGGGCCTGCTGCCTCTGGCATAGGCGCCGACTCTGTGGATGCTCCAGGGCTGGAGCACCCATGGGGAAAAATTAGTAGGTGCTCTGCACCACCGGCAGCCAAGCTCCCTCTGCCCCTGCCTCGCCTCCTCTCCCTTCCGAGCACGCCGTGTCCCCGTGCCTCCCTCTCCCTCCCAGCACTTCCTGCCCCCGCCCCACCGCCTAACAACTGTTTGGCGGTGCTTAGGACTTTCCGGGAGGGAGGGAGAGGAGCGGGGACACGGCGTGCTCAGGGGAGGAGGCAGAGAAGAGACGGGCAAGGGCGGGGACTTGGGAGAAGGGGGTGGAATGGGGGCAGGGACTTTGGGGAAGGGGTGGAATTGGGGTGGGGTGAGGGTGGTGCAGGGGCGGGGCCAGGGGCAGGGAGGGGTCGAGCACCCACCGGGCAGAGGAGAAGTCAGCGCCTATGCGACTGATTGAAAATTAGTGTTGTGTGTGAATCAGGAAAAGCGAAGAACAGAGGGAAAGGTGCCAAATTTTTGTCACTGAAATACTTCCAAATTTTAAGAACAAAATGCAGGAGGGAATTCCCCTGTTTCCCCCCACGCTAACTCAATTATTTGACGAGATACAATCCTATTTCTTTCTCTGGCATCTCTTCTTCTTTTCTTTCCCCCATGTCAGTTGTAATCAGCTGTTTTGGCAGTGCTCTTTGCTGCTAGATCTTCCCCCTTATAATCTGCTAGACTATTATCAACCCAAAACAACTAAGCCTACATAGCCAGGGACTGCAGGCTAGCCTGTCATGAGCTTGATCTCTGATTGTGTGGGTGTATGCCCTATACACATGTTAATATTATCTCTGCTGCAGATATTTCAGACGACAGCTTTAGTGTTCTACAGAAATCATGGTATGTAGTAAGAGAAGTTAGATCTAGCATATATGCTGCTGTATATGTGGTGCCTTGTCTAAGCACTTCAAGTGCATGGAAAAATATCCATAATACACTCTTTTTGTTATGGATTGAATATTTAAATTGCTTTTCTCTGCACACCTGTTCTAATAAATCTTATTAAACATATGAAAGATTTAATATGTTTCAGTACTACAGATAAAACAAATTGAATATCTTTTCTAATTCTATATTGTTAGGGTTGCACTTTAAAGAATAATTTTAACATGACAACAGTATTGCTCGCCACCTTTGGCCACGTAAAGAACAGGAGTACTTGTGGCACCTTAGAGACTAACAAATTTATTAGAGCATAAGCTTTCGTGGGCTACAACCCACTTCTTCGGATGCATCTAATAAATTTGTTAGTCTCTAAGGTGCCACAAGTACTCCTGTTCTTTTTGAGGATACAGACTAATACAGCTGCTACCCTGAAATTTGGCCACATACTATATTTTGTCTTTAGCATTTTTAGTACATGAATGCTTATCATTCCCTTTAAAAATTGTTTTATAGAGAGACTTACAGGGAAATGCACACTAAAGTATACAAATTACTTGGTGAAATTCTATGCAGGAAGTCAGACTAGATTATCATAATGGTCTCTGCTAGCCTTAAAATCTATTCAACTATGAAATAAAATACACAGGTTTGAATACAAGGTTTGGGTGTCATAATGAGATGTACAACTGAAGACTTAGAGTGAAGAATTATACACGGATAAGTCCACAAGCAATTGGTGTAGAGTTTTGAGGGCAGATCCTCAAGTGGTGTAGTGTTGTAGCTCAAGTCAGTGCAGCGATGGCAATTTACATCAACTGAGGATCTGTCCCTTTATCTGCTAGGTAGTTACATGGGTACTTTTCTCCTTTTGAAACCCCTTTTATTTATTTTATTCCTGTAGGACTGAAGCTATCAAGGAGAATGTGTTGGCTGTTCTTCTAGTAGTTCTTGTCTCACTTCTTGGGTTCCTAACTCTGAACCAAGGCTTTTGTAAAGACATTTGGGTCCTCCTGTTCTGTCTTGTCATGGCCGGTTGCCAATATTCCCTTCTAAAGGTAAGAAATAAATATATTTCCTAGCCACAAAATCTCCTGGAATTTTTGGGGATTCAAAAACCTGTAAATAATTTTTTTTTTCTGGTTTTGTTTTTAGAGTGTTCAGCCTGACCCTGCCTCACCAATACACGTAAGTCACAGCAAGCAGAGCAAGTTTGCTTTTTATAGTATCACTTTTGTACTGAGAGGGAATCAGTTGGTACTGCTATGATGCTACCCAGGGTCATCATGAGGCACCACCTTACTGCTACCTGCTCTTAGTGTGCAGTGGTCTCATCTGTGCCTATTGTAGTCCAGCTCCCTGGAACCAACAGCCTCTGGCAACACAAACAACAAGGACAAGTGCAGAGTCCTGCACTTAGGACGGAAGAATCCCATGCACTGCTACAGACTAGGGACCGAATGGCTAGGCAGCAGTTCTGCAGAAAAGGACCTAGGGGTCATAGTGGACGAGAAGCTGGATATGAGTCAGCAGTGTGCCCTTGTTGCCAAGAAGGCTAACAGCATTTTGGGCTGTATAAGTAGGGGCATTGCCAGCAGATAAAGGGACGTGATCATTCCCCTCTATTCAACATTGGGGAGGCCTCATCTGGAGTACTGTGTCTAGTTTTGGGCCCCACACTACAAGAAGGATGTGGAAAAATTGGGAAGAGTCCAGCGGAGGGCAACAAAAAGGATTAGGGGGCTGGAACACATGACTTATGAGGAAAGGCTGAGGGAACTGGGATTGTTTAGTCTACAGAAGAGAAGAATGAAGGGGGATTTGATAGCTGCTTTCAACTACCTGAAAGGGGGTTCCAAAGAGGATGGATCTAGACTGTTCTCAGTGGTACCAGATGACAGAACAAGGAGTAATGGTCTCAAGTTGCAGTGGGGGAGGTTTAGGTTGGATATTATGGGTTACCTAGGGAGGTGGTGGAATCTCCTTCCTTAGAGGTTTTTAAGGTCAGGCTTGACAAAGCCCTGGCTGATATGATTTAGTTGGGAATTGGTCCTGCTTTGAGCAGGGGGTTGGACTAGATGACCTCCTGAGGTCCCTTCCAACCCTGATATTCTATGATTTTATGATTCTAAGCATTACCTTCCAGGCCTCTGCAGACCTCGCTCCCTCTCTGCAGGCTAGTAATAGGCACACACCAACCCCTGAGTCCTTGGAGCAATCTCTGTAACATCCAGCCCTTTGTCCACTGGCCACTCACAGGAGTTACCAGATATGCTGTCCCCAGCGGGACAGTATACACACAAGAAGGCTGTAACCAGGGTGGGATGAGCGGGGCAGCTGCCCGGGGTGGAAAAATGGGGCAAAGAAATGCTGAAAAAAACTATATTTAACAGGCCAAGCCCCTGTCTACAAAAGTTAGTCACGCAAAGCAATCTCCCAGCATCTCCAGCCAACATGACTGGGATCTCTCTTTCATGAATGCAAAAAGTTCTATCCTTTTGCTTCCTTGGTTAATGATATAAGAAGACAAAAGGACACCATTTTATCTCCCAAACATCCATTGTTTGTCCCAAGAGTTGGGATAACCCCCCATGGTTTATTCCCTGGTGTGCTAACTTCATGTTGACTTCATATGCAAACGGAGCTTCCTCCATTGTATTGGCTTAGATGCTTAATTTATATGTGAACCAAGACAGATAGGGGAATATACATCTTTTTGTCTGGCAGAAACCAATTCTCCCTCGATTCAGACTCTTTTTAGGAACATATTTTCAGTATATATACACAACTTTTTTCATGGTATTTGTTCATACATTTCACAGTGACATTAGTGATTAGTAGGAACCCAGCTTTTATTGAAGACCTCACATAACATTCTGTATGGATAAATACTATGAAAGCAGGGGTGCGAGGTGTAGTGAGATTGTCAGGCCTGCTAGGAGTTGCTGTTACAGAGCAGTGAACCCTTTGCCTGTTGGTATTGAAGGGTTCTGTCACAACAGTGAAACATTGAAATAAGTAGCTCTTGTAAATATTGTTGGTTGTTTATCAAGAACCCTATTGCATGTGGCTTTTGTGGCTTCAGTACTATTTTTATTCATGATTGATTATTATAGTTTAGCATATAGAGTACCCAAAAGTAATGATGAATTCAAATAAACATAAATCTGTCTGAATTAGATTATTCAGAAACTCAGTCATATGGCATCTGACCAACATTTCCTCTGTTTTCCATTAACCACTGCTGGCTTTTAAAACAGCAACAATCCAGACTCATCCCTCAGTCTTCAGTCAATAAGGATTTAAAATTCATCTTCAAGACAGATAATTGATTTTTAATCTGCTATTGCTGATGTTTTCCTCAAAAGTACATAATTGGCTGATCAAATAGCATGCTTCCTTATTAAATTAATCTATTCCTATAATTGTATTTCTATATAATATTCATCCTTCCTTCACAAAGTACCGTAACTGGGAGAAGTATAATTGAGGTATCAGCAATGTATTGTTGTAAATTGTCACTAGCAGGATGTGTATTAGGTTACATTGAGAAGAGAGATGTGGGAGCTGCCTTACTGTGAGTATTAGCTACCCTGGTATTCTGAATCAGATCTCCAGGGCAGTAGTACATTTGAAATACTGATTCTATGTTGAAAATGTATTGGTTTGCTGGCATCTGATTGTCCTATCTAGGGATCTCTCTTCCAGGAATAACATGCACCAGGGAAAAAGATTCAGTGCATCTATTGCTCCCAGGGTAGTGAAAGAAATGGAAGTGATATATTGGATACAGTACATTAAACAAATAAGATATGTGTTCTAACACTTACCTAGTTCTGGTTGCCTTACATTACAGCTAGCCAACTGATAAGGGGAATGAGCAAAAATCAATACAGTTGATTTTCTTATCTAGAAGCATAATGTGATGTAAGGGGGGGAAAAGGGAGTTTGTGAACCGTTGGAGGAGGACTGAACTTTTTCTCCAAGTCAAAATATTGTGTGTGCTCACTCAGGTTAGTTGCCTAATTCTTCAGTTTGTTGGTTTTGGACTCTCTCACCTTCTGGGAAGACTGCAGCTAGGTAAAAGAGCATCTGCTGTTTGCAAGCTGCTATTGGGAGTGGTGTGGGGAGGGTGGGAACTACAAATCAGCTCCGTCTCCTGGATCCTTTCCCTTTGATAGTGAGTTTTAGCCTCTGTCATTTTGAAGACTGGAAATATAAATTCATTTTTAAATCAAGGTTCTTTGCAGTTTATAGTTGTAAATTCTACCAAGATGAACTTGAAGGATTCTTAGTTTCCTTTCCTGCCTCAATCATTCCTAGAAATTATGGAATTGCTCAGCTATCGCACATTTGCAAGCAATTCATGCCTACCTGCAAACTGGACAGTGTTGATAAACATTAGTTTACCATTCCGTTCCTTGTAGTGTATGTTATTTCCAGGGACTTGAGAAAATTAGCTCTTTACTGAGGTCTGAATATTTTTTAAATGCCAAAAATAGACCATATTTGTCGGTTCGACTAACACATTTCTACACACAGTAATGTGAACAGTAATCAAATCGCTTGCACATGTAAACATTGATAATGTGCGCATTTGTTTAAGAGGGGTGGTAACCAGCATAATCAAAACTTCATTATAATCACATCCTAGACTAAATTATTTGTAGCATCAAAGACGAAATAACTAATGAAGCTTAATTGAGGCATATTTTCATACAATACCATGACTAGAATTTTACAGTCACAGTAAAAATGTTGTTATAACATCATCCATCATATTATATTCTACATGTCATGCAGTATTATAACAAAGTGATGATATACCTGATTCCCTCCCCAACCCTCCCACAAGCCTTGATTTATTAAGAAGTGCCTATGAAAAAATATTTTACAGTATCTTTTCACTCAACATTTTAAACATGAAAGGCATATTTAACATAAATTAAACTAGAAGATTTAATCCATATTGCATTATGCATTATCACTTAAAAGTTATTAAATTTTATAAGATGAGATGTATTAATAAAGGCTTGCTGGAATTACTTGGCATCATTAAAAATAAGACAACAAGTAGGCTTGAAAGGATACCATACTGTACTACTTCATAATTCACACAACTACATTAAAATTAAAGTAGATAAGATTGCTTGATGCTAATGCGAGGATGCAGAACAGCAGGGAGATTAAAGAATGATCAGTGTTATAAACCTGAATGACAATGCAGCTGAAATTTTCCAAACAAGGCTGGGGAGCAATGAGATAATCTGGGGGTTCTTCTGGGTCCATTCTTGTTCTTGGATTCTCTTAGGCTACAGTGGCCCCTTGTGCCTTTGATCATCTATGGCTTCTGGCAGACTCCAAACATTCTTTCCCAATCTCTTTCAGGCATACCTTGCAGTAGTCGGTCATGGCTTTGTCATCTTGAAACTATACTACTGTAACAGAGTCTAGTTAGCACTGTCCTTGAAGACAGCCCACAGTAATAAGAAATAAGGAATAAATTTTTGACAGTGAGGATAATTAACCATTGCAGCAATTTACCAAGAGTTGTGGTGGATTCTCCATCACTGACAATTTTTAAATCAAGATCAGATTTTTTTTTCTAAAAGATGTGCTCTAGATATTATTTTAGGGAAGTTCTATGGCCCGGGCTATACAGGAGGTCAGGCTAGATGTTCACAGCAATCCCTTCTGGCCTTAGAATTTATTAATCTAGTCAGGAGGCATAGAATGCTGGTGCCTAGTTTGGATTGTGTCACTATGAGCATATAAGGCTAGTGCTCAGATCTCTACAGTGGTTTCATGTTCATTTCATGATGCAATTTAAGGTGTTGCTGAATAGCCTGAAAGTCCTGTATGTCTGTCCAGGACCAAGTTTTGTGGTAGATATCACAGTAGGCCTCATAGGGCAAGAAGCAGTCTAATGAAATCATCTGGGATTCTACTTCTGTGCACAAAGCAGAGGTCTCAGCAGAGTAGTGTCAAATACCAAGGTGCTGGGTACACTTTAGATAGGTAGATATATATATATATGGCTTCTGCCTTTTGAATTTTTTTCCAACTAGTTGTCTGCCAGAGTCTGAGGTTAGTGAGCTTCAGAGTACAACGTAGAGCTCATTTAATGTGATTAATGTTCAGTTTCTGTGTGTGGTGTTTAATGTTATGTTTTTAATAGTTTTGTTTTG